GAGGCATCACGATCAGGTACCCGTGTACGTTCACTGACTGGGACGCAGGTACCACTCTGGCGGGGATGCTGACAGCTGGGGAGATCGCACACGAGTGGGGGCAGTGGGTATATGTGAAGTGTGTGTACTTTCCCCTCCGTGCTGCTGGGAACCTGAAAGGGCTCTAAAAAATAAAGCCTTAATTTAGACAAGAAGGCAGGAAGGCTCGAGGAGAGCAGGAGTGGGGTCCCCAGAATGTCTCCATTGAATTCGCCAACCCGGCCTTTGCAGAAAGTGCGTAATGGCGGAAGATAACGGAGCACGAGCATGGTGACCTCGAATGGGTGGCAGGGCCGGTCGCGTCTGCCGTCCGGAAGCGGCGCCTTCGCGGGAGCCCATCCGCCTCTGGCAGATCGCAGGTGGCGACTGATTTGGCACATGCTTTCCCCTCGACAGCCATCACCGGGAGGGCCTGGCCAGGGCGGCAGTCTCCCCTCACCATCTCAAGACCCCGGCTACGCTCTGCCTTCCACTCCGCTACGGCTCACAGGGACCGTGGCAGAGCGAACGATGCCCCTGCCAAAGATGCCCATGTGCTGGTCCCTGGAGCCTGCGAGTGTGCTGTGTTACGTGCAGGAAGGAATTAAGATTGAAGATGGAATTAAGGCACTAATCAGCTGACCTTAACATGGGATGATCACCCTGGGTTATGCGGGTAGACGCAACGCAATCACAAGGCTTCTTACAAGTCGAAGAGACAGAGGGCGCCTGGGCGGCTCAGTCCGGTGAGCGTCTGACTCTTGATTTTGACCCAGGTCATGATCTCACGGTTCCTGAGTTCCAGCCCCACGTCGGGCTCTGTGATGACAGTGCGGAGCCTGCTGGGGATTTTCTCTCTGCCCCACCCCTGCTCATGTGCTCTCTCTCAAAATATACAAGCTTAAAAAAAAAAAAAAAGTGGAAGAAAGACAGAAGAGCCCATAGGGAGCTGTGACTCGAAAGAAGGTCCAACAGATGCCACACTGCTGACCCGGAAGGTGAGGAAGGGCCAGGAGCCGGGAACGCGGGCACCTCCAGGAGGGAGGACACAGATTTCCCTCTGGAGCCCCAGGAAGGATCTCGGTCTTGCCATGGCCTTTCTGTCACCCGCCGAGGCCCGTGTCGGACTTCCAAGCTACAGTGCTGGCTGTCACAGCAACTGCAGACAGTGGACACGGGAACCCAGATGCTCCCGGCACCTCCCCGGTCCAGGGAGCTCCAGACAGCGGAGGCAAAAGCACGCCGGTGAAGTCTTGAGGGTTCATGAATCCGGGGCGCGTTGGGACATCTCAAGGTAAAGGAGAAATGGCCCGTGAGGACGTGAGAGCAGCACAAGCCATACCTGGGAGTACGGCCCACCCCGCTTACTGAGAGACCCAGAAAAGGCTACCGGCTCCAGCAGGGCCCGGAGGTCGTGGCGGAGGCAGGAGGCGAGGCCGGCCCTGCCGGAGGGTCTGTGGGGAGAAGGATGCCGTCGGCAAGGCCGGGGGACGGCCGCAGGCTCTAGAGTAAGGCTCTGCCTTCGGGGAGAGAACACCATTCGTGGTTTGGCCCCTGGGGAGGCGGGGGTCCGGCTGGGGCACGAGAGGTCGTGCAAACTGGGCGGTCAATCGCCGCCTGGGGTCCTCGCCCGTGGACCCCGGTACGGGGCACACGCAGCGGTAATCCACTGCGTGACAACAACGAGCCACCGAGGAGGCACAGTACATTCCGTGACCCACACAGTCCCGCCGTCCTGTCCTCTCTCCAGCAGGATCACAGCCTCGCCACCTGGGAGCACAGGAGGCGGAGCAAAGTCTCGCCTTGATGCACAGGAGGCTCAGCCATGTGATCGCCGCCTGTTACGCTCCTCTGTCAGGGGGACCCTAGAAGACGGCGGTGGAGGGGCTCCCCCAGGGGCACCTGGTCACCCCTCCCTATGGGTGGGAAGAGTGGCCG